GGGGGGAATGCAATCCACCGAAAGTGCCCTCTGAATGTGTGTGTGTGTGCCTGTCTTTCTTCTTCCCACCCTGAGTCTGAAGTTGAACGTGTACATGACAGTGTCCCTTGGGAAGGTGCCCTCGAAAACCTCCACACGGATCCTGATACCGAACAACCAACCAACCAACGCATGCAGTCCCCACCACGTGTGCTATCTGTGTGTCTCCTTTGCTCTCACCTTGGGTGTTGTGGGTCGAATGGCACATCATGTTCCTTTACAGCAGCACGGCAGCTGTCGTCGCATGGCAGGGCCGCCCACCGGGCACGTTGGGCGGGAGGGACGCCCGCTTGCGTGGTCGCAGGCACGGCTGGCGGTGGGGGGAGCGACACGGCCTGCGCATCTGCCGGCTGAGAACCTTCGATGCGAGCCAAGCTCTGCAGACAAATGACACTCAAGGATCGGTCGATTTGTGTTGTGTTTCCCCTGTTTTGCTGCATACCTGTCGGGGGGAGGGGAGGGGGTGAGCTGGTCCAGACACCTCAAGGGTGCGGCCGTCCGGAAGAACGCGCATACGGCTGACAATGACATCGACAAGCTCGCTCCTCTTTGACTCAATCTGAGGACATTGGTCAGATGAAGGGAGATCACCGACGGACAGAGGAGGTGTCCTTAGCGGCTCACGTACGTCCTCTGCCTTGACATCTGCAGACGGCTGCAGGCCGGCGGTGGTGAGGACGCTGTCAAGAGTGGGATTCACCACGTGGGTTACCATCTCCTGTGAGACACACACGTGTGCTGCGGTAGGCTGAACCTTGGTTACGGTGTGGATTTTCACCTTGTTGGTTAGGGGGTCGCTGAACAGCACCTTGAAGCGAAAGGTGCCATCGGCGCCCCTCTCTCGGAGAAGCGTGAGTATGCCTGACAAGCCGCTCGGCAATCTGTGTGTGCCGCGATGCAGCCGGTCCGTGTCCACGTCTGCGTAGAACACAACCAAAGAGACACACGTACATATCGCCAAATGACATCGAACCCTTTCTCTGTACCCTTGAGCGCGGGTCTTCTCTCTGGCGTGCCGCGGACAAAGTCGCCTCCCTGGACGCAAAGGCAGCCATTTCATGTCTGTCTCTATGTACGCGGAGTGAGTGGTTCACCTTGAGGAGTGAGGGTTTGAATGGTGCCTTGACGGCAAAGTACCTCTGGAAGAACCGCAGCAGCTGAATGCGAGGGGGGAAGGCGCGGGGGAAGGGCACAGATGACAGGCTGCAGCAAAAGAAAGACGAGGGAATGGCAGATTGATACATCTTGTGTCCTCCTCACCTCGTGAGTGCCTTGGGTGTGAGCGACTCTTCGGGGTACTTTTCGTCCATTTCCAGCTGTTCCTTGGTCTTCATAGCCTGCATGAGCTGGTCGCTGTGCTTGTCGTGGATCAGACAGTGGAAGGCAAACTGATGAGATGGCTCGTATATAGCGATCCGCAACACCCTGCCAGCAACAAGACACAGGGGACATCGAGGCATCAAGAACCAATGTGTCGATCGCTGACTGACCGTGGGTTGAAGTCATCGACGACCACGATGGCCAGCCTGAGGCCTCCCACGTGCTTGATCTCAGTGTACACGCCAAGTGGCACGCTGGACAGCTTGTCGCCGAGAGGCAGGAAGTACACTCCACCGCCGTCCTCCTCGCCATTGGCCGCCGAACCGCCTGTGCGGGACACCTCGAAGGCCAGCAGGAAATCCTGGCAGTACGTCTTCTTTGATATTGAGAAGTGAAGGACGTATTTCGCCTCTCCGTCGGGCTTGGCTTGTGGTGGCGTGCCGCCTCCTCGTTGGGTGGGGGGCCGGAGGCCGCCATTGGGGCGGACGGAGCGGGAGCAGGAGAAGACGACCTCAGAGTCGACCTCGAACGTGCTGTCCCTAAGGACATGCACGAGACAGCACATACAGAATTGCTGGACATCACTTGCGTGTGCCATGCCTTGGTTTGAATGGGAATGTGATGAGGGGGACGTGGGTGCTGAGGAGGCGCTGGGACTCGTCGGATGGGTACAGCTCCTGCCCTGCCGACATGTCCTTGATCGAATCCGCAAACTCGCCATTCTCACCGAGCGTCCCAAACCTGTTTGTTAAAGGCAATTCAGTTGACCGCGTTTGTCGTCCTGTCTTTGATGTGACCTGAGAAGCTGTTCGACGATCTGTGCGACCTTCTCCCGCAGCGACCGCTCCACCAGCGTGTAGATGGCCTCGTCATGCAGAGTGAAACGAGCCTCCTGAAGCAATACACAAGCGAATCATTGAGGTGTGCGTTCAAAAAGTGGCGCTCCACAAACTCGACCTTTTTTGAAGTGTAGTTGTGGACGATGTATGTAACGCTGTGAGGGAAGGAGGACTCGTTCATTGCAATGTAATAGTCATTATCTCCAACACTCCTGCGATAGACAGGGACGAGTAGGTGCGAATGCCACAAGAGCTTCTTGGCATCGGCTTGCTTGCCTGTATTCTATGTAGAGCTTCTGCGGCTGCATGTCATCCTTGGTGGGCATCAGCACTTGCAGGGGGTATCTGTGCGTCGGCCAGTACACGCCCAGCCGGTGCCACTCCTTGATGCCGTACTCCCGTTTGCTGTCCACCGTCATGACCACGCCCTTCTCCCCTTCAGTGAGTGTCTCTTGCGTCTTGTACAGTCTCTTCCACCCAGTGCCCTGCACCGACGCCATGCCCGCCTCAAGCGGCGACCCACCCACTGCCAGCGGGCCGCGACGAACACTCACACCGTCAGCCGGCCTGGATGAACACAAGCAACAAAGGATCAGCGGACAATGTGCCTCCCTGCTTGCCTACTTTGCCTCGCTCGTCACGGCGAAAGGCGATTCTTTCTCGTCTTCCGGTGGCGCTTCGGCGGGCTCGACAGGCTCGGGAGCACCTGCTGGCAGTGAGCGGCAGACAAGGGCGCGCTGAATGTCTTGCCCTGCTGTCTCGAGGGGCGTGATCTCTATCGACTGGATGATCCGCTCAAGGAGGGCCGGCTGATTTCACAGAGGAGGAAGTAGCCGAGCTTCAGAGCATTATGGAATTGTTGCAATTGGCTAACCTTCTCTGCAGGGTCAAGGAGCGAGTGCACGTCGGATGGAAGGATGGATCCAAGGCTGCGGTCGTTCAGACGGAGCGAGAAGTATCGCTGCTCCCATTTGCTGAAGGCGACGACTAGGATGTTGTGCACACAGACGGCAGCGAGAGGCGCCTTCGGCTCGTCATAGAGGGCGATGAGCAGCGGCCCGCTGACGGCAGGGGCAATCCCATCGTCGATCTCCTTCTGCTGCAGGTGAAGGGCCACAGTGCGCTCGCGGACAATCAGTGCCTCATCTATCTCATGCGTCATCAGCTTGTGACACTCCTGCAAGCCAGAGACACCACAAGTCTTTGCGTTGCACGCAACCCTGCTTCATCCACACGCACCTCTGCGGTGAGCGGATCGGTCTCTCCCTTGTCACGAGCAGGCGTCTCCATTGCTCTCCGGGAGAAGCCATCGCTCGCCGAGAGGACAGATTCAGGAGTCAGGTCGATGACCAGTCTCCCTGCGTCGCCCTCGGTCAGCCTGACGCCCTTGGCCAGCTCGTAGGCAACAGCATCCCTGACCTTGGCGTCCCTCAGGTTGAGGTGGCTCGACCCGCCGCCCTTGCCCGTCATCGCTCGGCTCACCAGGGATGGCATCTGACAGGACCGACGGCAATATCAATGTGTGCCATGTGTTGTGTGGCTTGGTTACATGGTAGAGACGGGTAGAGTCGACGAGATACGTGCCGCGCTGTGCTGATGTGCCGTGGGTGGGAGTGGCTGTAACGATGAAGTGGATGAACGGGCGAAGCCGCTCATACACAGCCACAGTGGCACGGCATAACGTCGGCAGAGGCACCTCCTCAATCGCCTCTTCCTCTGCAGCCTTCTCTTTCGCCTCAGGAGCCTCGGCTGCCTCTGCCGCCTGTGTCTCGTCTTCCTTGGTCTCCCCTGCTGCTGCTGCTGCTGCTGCTGCT